TCAATGTTTCTCTATTTTAAATTTTCATTTTCATTTTTTTTTGGCACTTTTCAGTTTTTCATGTACTTGGTTGCCCCTCTCATTCTAACAAATATACTCTTACCTCTAATTTATGGATTTAGTCCCGATATTCGCTTAATTACTCTAAGAAAATTAGATTTAGGCATGGATTTTTGTAGGCGCCTAATATATTTGGCGGGTTCTCCTAATCAAGGTTTTAAATGTCGAGGTCTCAATTTAATGGAAATATGGATAAAATGTCGATATCAATAGATATTTATGGAAAAGTTAGAAAAATTAAAAAAAAAAAAGAAATCATAGAAAATATTTAAATGAACAAATAAACATTTTCCTATTTCTAAATTAGTTAAAAATAATTAATCTTAATTTTATGTATATGTTAGTGATATTTTGTTGATATTTTTCATATTTTGTCGTTTTTCTTGTACTATGATAGAAATATCGATCTATCCCTCATGTCGATGTCGAACCCATGAAAATATGGATATGTCGATAGAAATGTCGACGAAAATGTCAACGTGATGACAGATATTTAAAACCATGCTCCTAACTCAACTAAATCACATATGTACTAAAACAAACTAAATCATATTTATAATTACTAAATTACATTTAAGAACTATTTTACTTTTAAGTTTTTGTTTTTGAAAATTAAGCTGGTAAACTTCACTTTGTTTTGTTACGTGCTTTTAAAAAATGTTTCTAAAATCTAAACTAAATTTTAAAAACTAATAAAAAAATATATTTTTCAAAAATTTACTTTGTACTTTTCAAATTTTGAATAAAAATTCAAATATATTTTTACAAGAGAGGAAAACCTACTTAAAAAAAACTGGTATAAAATCAAACATAATGTTCAAAAATAGAAAACAAAAAAACGCTTAAAAATATAAGAATCTCATGTGCTAAAATTTAACCCTGAATATAATTCAACTACATTAATTAACTATAATCAATAGGAAAATGGTATATGAAGAAGAGTAACATGTAAAATCAAAGAGATCACGAGTATTAAAAATATTATATATATATATATATATATGTATAAACTAGTCCTAGAATTGCATAAATGAAATCACAAAGAATAGATCAGAGAAAAGAAAAAAAAGTAAAATTAGGATTTTTTTTTTTTAAGGCATCATCATCTCAGAATCTTGGAATACACTTCGACAATGAAGCAAATGATATAAATGCCCTCAGCTTAGTCTAATTAAAACTAGAGTTTTTTCTTTCTTTTTTTTTTTCAATAAAGTCTTGGTTATAAATTTTAGATTTCACTTAAAAGAAAGAAAGCAAAACTTCAAATATTTCTTTTGAAAATGGTGATTAGGTAGCATGTGTATCTACAAGAGTCCCATTATAGATAAAGATTTAGTCTTCATAGTTTTAAAATTTTGTAACAACTTAATCTATAAACTAGTACTTAACGCAATTTAATCCTACCATAATAAATAATCACCTAAAGACCAAATATATTTTTAAACTCCATACACTAAATTATTACATACTAAAAATTGATACTTTATGCCTAACAGGACTATAAATCGTTACAAAAACTTTAAACTACAAAGACTAATGGAGTACTCGTTGCATATGCTAGCTAAAATCCAGGAACGACTAAATCATTACAATTTCTAAACAACAAAGAACAAATCATTATATATTAAAGTTCAAGAATGTACTAAATTGCTACTTTTACGAAAGTATAAGAACCAAACACGCTTTTTTGGGTCAAATTCCATCCTAAATCTATCTAAATAGATAATATAGCAAAGGGAGAGATGGACAAACTAGTCAAAAAGGAGATGATGCAAAATGGGCATTTGCCCTAATATTTGGAAAAGGGGAATCATGATATGATATGATATGAGAGATGATATTATTATGGGGCTTTTTGGAGGGTATAGTGACCTTGTATAGGGTTAGGGTTTGGTTGGTGTGTCCTTTCACTAAGCTGTAAGTTGCTTTCTGCTTTGTCTTGGCATCCTTCTGTGCTGCAAGATGCTGCCTTTCAATCCTTCTTTTTTTTTTTCTTCCTTCTGATCTGCAGATGCCCTCTACAGAAACCCTCTCACCATCAAAATCTTTCTTACTGTTCAATCCATTTTCCACCTTTATATATATATATTATATATGTGTGTGGGGTAATTTCAAAATTACTAGATCCAAAGGAGTGGTCTTATCTACAATTTGTAGGCATTGAATGATATCATCTCTTTTTCTTTGTTTTTTCTTAAAAAAATGACTTTTCTGAATTGATAATCCATATTTCTGTAGGATTAAAGACGTATTTGGAGCCAACATGAGTTAGCTCAGCGGTAATTGAGATCAAGAAATCATGAATTTGACACGAAGGAATTACTAATTCTTAAGGTAGGTGGCCACCATGGGATTTGAACTCATTCCCTCCTAATTAACCCTAGTCATTTTGGACTAATGAACCATCTATGATGATTAAAAGTTACGTTACGTTATAAATGAAGGGGTGAAGATTTGATCATGTGACTTGATAGTTGAAATTTTGCTCCACAGTAGGAGGGAATATGATCATTTGATAACGGGTTTTTTCTTTTAATGAAAATAAAACTAGTGTTGTCTAGAAAAAATTGTTTCATTCTTTTATATTAAAATTCCATTTTTAATTATAGCTATTAGGGGACTGAAATTTTTTAGAGTTTTTTTTTCTCTGTTGAATTAATTTAGAAGACATTTCAAGTCTTAATAAGAACAGAAAAAAAAAAAGACTAACAGTAAGGGACTGTTTGTTGGTCTTTTTTTCTACTTGACCACTTTTTAAAGTTTTCAAGAATCGTGTAAATTAATAACATAATTTTTAGAGGAAGAATAACTCAAATCATTCTAAAAATATAAGTTAAAATAAAATAGAAATTAATTTATTGGATTTAGGATATCACTTTAAAACCAATTGATAATAATAAAAGTAGTACACGAATTTTGTTAGTTCTCGAATTTTTTCAATATGGTATCTTAACAGAAATTATTGATGAAATTTGACTTTTCGTAAGGTAGGTCTCTTCTCAATATGGGATCGGGAATTGAAAAACAAAATCAAATCTTGAAACTTTTGAAGTTGAAGACGTGTGTTAAAGGAGAATTGGGGTTAAAAGAAGGTTAGAATTTGGAAAAAGAAAAAAAAAACAGAAAGAAAAGAGAGAAGCCATTGTTGTCCAAAATGGGTATCACATGACTTGGTCAATGGAAGAAAAAGGTAAAACAGAGAGATGTAAGATTGGTATTATTTGAAGTACTAAAAAAGAAAAATTTGCAGAATTAATTTTATTTCCATTTTTGTTTGGTTATGGTATGTCTGGTGTGGAAATATCATTGTCCTTTTCTACTTGTCTTAGTAGTTGGCATTTATTAGATTTGGAAGGAACTAGTTTCAATCATGGCTAATTACAATAATTCCAAACATGCCACTATCACAAAGCCCCTGCCTTTTCCTCTTGGAAACTCCTTTTTCTTCATCTCTTTAGGCTCTAGTACAAAATTCCACCTCTCTCTCCCTCCATAGCCATTATGAGAAGAAGCTTGGAAGATTTGGTGGCATTTCTCTCATGGGGGTAGGGAGAGGAGGGTTACTAGGGAGCCAAGTTTTCTCTAGGGACGGGCCCCCGATTAGAGTGGAGATTTCTCGATCTAAGTGTATAGATATCAAATTTATGAACTTTAAAAGAAGTTGTTGGTATTTTTATTAGGTGAATTATGTTCAGTTTGACGGTTCTTAGTTGGTTGATATGCAATTTTATGATTATTGATAATATGCCTTCAAATTTCCTAGATACAAGAGAAGGTAATTTAAAATAAGGTCTTTTTTGCCAACATAAACATAACTCTAGTAAAACATCCTTATATCATTTAAAAGGTTGCAATCCGAACTTTGTATTAATGTTAAAGTATCGAATGATTAAATAACCTTGACTTATTAGCTTAAACTTTTTAGTTCATTAATCATTTAATATAGTATAAAAAAATTAAAAATATCTTATATTTCAACTTCTTAATATGATTTCCTTTCTAATTGATATTGATAGGTGGCCATGATACAAAAATTTCAATCATGTTAGTTTAACAATTAATGATGTAATATATATCCTTAAAAATTAAATCATTTTATAAATGAAAAATATTAAAATAAACAAAATAATTATTTTTTAGTACAACATGTAGGGATGAGATCGGACTCATAACTTCTAGATTGGAGATATATGTCAATTAACACTCAATTATGCTCGATTTGACAAAACAAAATAATTTTTGAACTGTCTTCTTTAACCATTTAGGTACATAAGGATTAATTACTTCAACTTCAGTTCAACCCAGAAATTATGACAGATTGCAGAATTCCATCATCATCATCGTATAAATATCCGTATTTCTAAATTTTTGTAAATAAAATATTAAATACGTAATAATTAATATGGTTTTTTAATATATAGAGAAATAAATCATTTTATAAAACTAATTACAAATGTTGCATTTTATTTTTAAAAAAAAGTTGTAACTACAAATAATATATTTTGACATATTAACCATTTGGTTAATTTTGATAACATTGTATTGTATAATAGTCCAATAAATATATATATATATATATATATATATATATATATATATATTTCAGTGGTTGTCATTGATTTTTTAAATGAAATTTCTAACATAACCCTATCCTAGGCTCATATTTACTCGATACATGTTTGTATAAACAATTGCTCAAAGCTATGAAGTCCCATATAGTAAGGTAAATATCAAGTTTCCAAATATATTTAAAAAAAAATTAAACGAATAATGAGAATTAACGATAATTAAAAATATATTTTTTATGCAATATTTAAGTACTAAACACACATTTAAAAGTAGATGACTAAAACAAATCACATGGTCACGTGAAAATTTTCATCCAAAGATTTGTGATTTTGAGATTGGGTCAAAAAATAAGACTATTATTTCAAACTACATAGGGACAAGAGAATAATGACATTGAAGAAAGTTTCCAAAATGGTTCTGAAAGCAACTTTTTTCAGGAAAAAGACTATATCCTTTGTACTAAACATCAGAAAGTACTATAGTTTTCCTCTCATGTAATAAAATGACCTATCATCTGCATGTTTATCCACTTGTTGAAAGAAAAAATTAATTGGTAGACAATAATTGGGGCTCACTTTCAATGGTTCCTTGTCGAATGGAGGCTGATAATATCTATGACCAAGATCAAGATGGGGCACCAGCAAGAATAAGAATCTGAAGCATAATTTTCTCTGGTAATGTGTTGTGAAAAAGAATGCAAAAGAACTTTGTTTTTTCGTTACCTCGGGCGAGCTATAGAGCTTCATTCATGAGTTTCTCTGTAAGAGCTTTGGGAAGTCCCATCACTGTGTCAGTTGAACCTACCTGTGTCACACACCAAAATAGTTTAGGTTTTAATAAGAGATAGATATGGTCTACACAAGGGCAACATGTGAAAGCAACCTTTGTTTTATTAAGTATTTTGCCATGAAGTCTCCTAGTTTATTTGGTTTTCTATTAATGTGAGTTTCTTCATCCACAAAGTAAGGTCTGAAGTGTTAATTAGGGTGGATCATTATTCATTTCATAGTTGAAAGTGAAATGAGGAGAAGTGAATTCATTGACAAGGACCCCAATATCCATTTTGAACTTCCCTTTCAGATCAGAACAAGATCTACAGAGTAAATGATAAATATAAAGTGAAATGGAAAAATGTCTAGTTCCCAGGCATATTTGCATTTTCCAATAAAGATAACTTCCAAAGGAAAATAAATAGATGATAAAGTTAATGAAGTACAGATAAATTAAAACATAGCTTAAATGGAGCTGTCAGTCAGACAAAAGTTCTTTTGTGATTCATAATGCTTTAGAACATTAAGGAGGTGTTTGACTCGTAAGTTAGACTTGACAACTGCCTACTACATTTGGTTGCCAAGAAAACACGTGAGATATTTAAATCTTAGGTAGGTGGCCACCATGGTTTGAATATATTCCCTCTGAGCCCTTTACTATTTACATTTGCCCTTATTGACCACTAGACCAACCTATGATGATTAAAATTATGTAATATGAAATTTAAAAGCATAATCAATACTAGGTATCTGAGTTTGTTTGTTTATCCTAGGCAATAAGTTTGTTAATCCCATGGGTTATGTAAACATAAACTTATGAAACTCATATTTTATACTATATACTAACTTTAACAAATTATAAGCTCGCAAACCAAACCAAACACACAAGGTACACAAAATTAAAGTTTCTATAATTCCCTTTAAGATATACTTAGGTTCATGAATCAATCAGTGTTGAATTCTTTGTAAACATTATAGAACATAGTACACAACGTAAGACGTCTGCAAATTAAAATTAGTAAATGTATATTACTAACCACTGCCTCAACTAATGGCCAAGTAAGTGGATGTTCCAACATCAGACCCCCAGCTACTTTGAATGTAACGTCCTCTTCAATCTGATGCAGTTCACCATCAATAAGACTTGAAAACAGTGTAAACGAAAAGCATGGCTTTGGAAAAGATCCAAGTAGGGAATTTTCCCGTGTTTACCAGGCTATCTATAACCTCCTCTGGTATGTCATAGAAATAAACCTTCACCGCAAAATTAGTTCAACATTAATCAACTTGTCTTCGAACCGTGAAAAAGTTGTCACAGGGTCAAGAGAGAGGGAGGATAAAATGTAAGTGTAAGCTTATTGTACCTCTGCCTCTTCCCATCCCCCTTTTCTTGTTCCTGTCTTAAGGTTGGTTATGAGTACAGACCCTACAACTGCTGCATGACTACCAGAATAGCCTGCAGTTCGTCAAGTGAATCAGAAGATACGCTTCAATTTTCACAACAGTCTGCAGGAAGAGGTAATAATTGTTTGAAGTCTTGAAGATAATTGACCTTTGATAAATTTGCGTGCTTCATCCTTATCAGATGGTTTCTCTCTGATTGTCCCTTCATAGACCACCACCTCAAAATCAATCAAATGCAGTAATTAAGAGTAGACTTAAGATACGTCTTAATAGTATATTTGGCAATAAGAAAAAATGGATACCACAAAGAGAAAGGTGCATCATGGAATAGATACACATCCCTGCACAACTGAAATTAGTAACCTGCTTGTTACTTGGCTTTATATGACTTTTGGAATGATGAAAAGTCTTTTTAGTCAATTACAAAAACCTTTCAAAATGTTTGGTTACATTTTTAGTCAATTACAAAAACCTTTCAAAATGTTTGGTTACATAATTAAAACTTCTGTTTGAAATTCTAAAAATACTTGAAAGCACTGTAAAGTAATTTTATAACAAACACTTGGCGTTTTTTTCAAATATGTTTATAGATGAAGTGCTTGATTAAAGAATACTAACCCTCAAAATTTATCCCAACCTCACTCTTAATTTATATAAGAGAGCTAATGCGAATACTGAATAAGGAAGAGGGAATTAAAGCTTACTGTGTCTGCAGTGATTAACAATGTGGCAGGCGCATCATTGTCAAGCTGACCTGTAGCTAGAATTCTTGATATAATTGCATCTGCCTAAGAGAAATCATGTGAAACCATCAGACAAAAGCCCTTCTCATGAGTCACGACCCTAAAAGTGAAAGACTTAAAAATATGAACACATATTGGATAAGTAATCCCTGTCTTTCGAAGTTGCATGAGGTAACAGTGAACATTAAAATGTTGACTCAGCTAGACTCCAGTTTAGTATATCACCGGCATAATTCTTCATGTCAAGAGCCTTGTTCCGCTATTGATGTGTTAAGTTACCCTATCTATTATACTCTACGACTGTAACCTCGTGGACTAAAACTTTAACAACTGATGGAAGTCCTATGAATAACTTCCTGCTAATTTCATATTGATTTGGATTGGAAAAAAAAAGTTAATCCACTTCTATTTAACCCAGCTTTACTTTCTAATAATACCAAGTACTAACTCGTACTAAGCATGCTTGCTAGGCTCTATGACATCAAAGGGATACACGAACTATCAACCTTTCACCATTCACTTGTATTACAAAGGAAAAAGATGCAATACCTGAAATTAGAGCAAAGCCTATAATGGTTCCCGCATTGATATCGAAACTATAATATTATAGCAGTTAAATACTGTTTCATTATCATTTAACAATATAGTTAAAACCATTTCTAAGTAAATGAGCCACACCTTTGCCTCAGCCAGAGCCATCACCAGTTCTTCTGGCTTTTCCTTCCTAATCGCTTTCTCATCAATGTCTGCTGTCTAATAAAGAGTAAACCAAGTCAATCTTCCAACAAGCAAACAAGAAGCCAGGGGAATAGCCAATTAGAAAACTCACCATTATGGAGAACTCGTATCCCATCTCTGATAGAATACGCCGGCGAGCCATGGACGATGAACCTAATATTATCTGCCACAATAAACAAACGCAGAAAATGGGATCAAGACAAATTTCGCCACAACCTACCTTGAAATTAATTAATCGGAAAAGAACAAAAACAAGCAAAAGAAGAGAGAGAGAGGGAAAAAAAATGATATTTATGAAAATGAAAGCAGCTTCAAATTTCGGCTACCTACTTTCCAAATTCCAATTCCAACCAAGAGTAGCCCGTGTTTTATTAAGCATAGAGGAAGATTACCAATGGAATACTCCATAGATCCTTTATCTACGTACTTTCTGATCTTTGAGTGAAAAAACAATGGCGAACACAAAATCCAGTAGCGGAAAATTTCAAACAGCGGACAATCATACATCCAGAGGGAGGTTCTTTGTTACATCGCGATAGGCAAGAACAAGATTAGAACTAGAAAGAAGAACAAATGCTAGAGAAAACGAACCTGAAATGGTGATCTTGCTGCGGCCATCTCTCTGCAATCTCCGAATTTCCTGGATATGCGACAGATAAGATTTGGAGTTTGAATCTCCAGAGAAAACCAATCAATCCACGGTAACCGGAGCGAACGGCCTCTTGTTTCTTTTTTTTCTCTTTTTTTTTTTTCTCATTTTCTTTCTTTCTTTCTATCATTTTTATTTGTTTGTTAATTTCTCTTTTAATTTAATATGTTTCCAAAACTTTTTTAAGTTAGAAATTTATTATTCAACTTTTATTGTTAGGTTTATTTAATCCATAATGAGTCTTTAAAAGTTAAGATTAATAAAAAGTATTACAGTAAACATCTAGAGAATATTATTTTTTAAGAGGTCAGACTTAAATAATATACTTTAAAATCAACAAATGATTTTATTAAAATATAATCAAAATTATTGGTAATAGAAATGTGCAAAAGATATCCAAATAAGTTTGCAATTTGCATAATCATACGTGTGTAAAGACTTTCTACAGTAATACTACTTCATCATATAAATTCTAACAATTCTTTTTTTTCTTTAAAGGAAATATTCTAACAAGTTGAAGAAGTGATTACAAATTTAGTAAAATTTAGATAAAATATTTGTAAAGAAAAACAAACAACTAAAAAATAAGTAGGAATATAGTAAAAATTAAAATACGTAAAAAAATTGTTGTACTAAAAAATAGTCTATTATTATTAGGTCATAGTGATTATTGTACATTTAATTAATATCTAAGTTAATCGTCTAATAAATCTCTAACCTATTAGAAATTTTTAAAAATTGAAAAACAATGCTTATTAGAGTTTTGTGTCATGACCATAAATTTAAAAAATGTTGAGTAGACCAAAAGACTTACGGGACATAAAATTTGAAAATCCAATGACATCCTATGGTATATTTAAGTTTTTGGATATATTAGACACCAAATTTAAAGGTTTTGGGATATATTAGACCCAATTCAAGGACCTATTAGATATTCATAAACCAAACTTATAATTTAACCTATATTAAAAAATGAAGTTATCTATTTGAATTTCCAAAAGAAATCTAAAAAAGTGAACATATTTGTATATTTTAAATGCATACCAACATTTTTTTTAAACAAAATTTGTTAATATTATTCTTAACATTTTGTAATCGTACAAAACGTTGGAGGTTTAAATCTCGACCCACATATATCTTAATTACCACTTGAAGAACTGTTACTTGAAGACCACCTTCATGACATTATAAATTATAAAAATTATCTATTGAAATTAGAATGGTCGAGAAAAATGATAGTTATTCATTTTTCAACTTTAATTTTTACATGCTTCATTATATCATAAACATTTTTTAACACGTCAATAAATTAAAATTAATGAAACGGTGAATCACCATGAGTAGTAGGTTAACTGTGATATTATTCCTTTGCCAGAGCATACCTTAGTCGGTCAAAGCATTAATCATCTTTTGATCACATCTTTATTTTTTATTTTAATTTCTAATCCGTTTGATAAATAAATTCATTCCACAATATCATGTTTTACTTAAAAAAAAAACGGTAAAATCAAGTTTTTTTTTTAAGTTAAAAGAAAAAAAACTTGATTTAAAAAAAAAATCCAACAAAATGCAGCCCATGACCTGGGAGCCCACCTGAATCTAGCTTAACTGAAGGCACATGTTCTCGACTAAAAAATCGTGGTTCGAACTCCCTTGTAATAAAAAAAAACTTGGTTATAAGGATTTTTTTAACCATACATACACATCTCTAAAGTTGGGAACGATTCACAAACCAAGCTTAAATTTCAATGAAGAAAATGAAAAACCTTGTGAGTTCTCCCCGTAGCAGCAGATGGAACAACTAAAACTATGGAACTACACAATAAAGTCCACAAGGGTTTTCACAAATACATTTCTATGCAAGAATACCTGATACTTGCCTCCATCCATGGTCGCCAAAAGCTTGCTCGGCCCAGGATCGTGAACCGAGATGAAGCGTTGCTATGCGGGCTGATGAGCAAGGAGAACAAGTGTTTGGATTAAATATGTGAAGCACTCAAGGCCATTACCTTGCATTGTTCGTTCATGGCTAAAAGTTGAGCCTCTTTCTTGTCAAGAAGGGCACTCAACCTCACATTTTCCTCCATAAGTTTCTGGACTTCTACTTCTTTCTGCATTTTCTCACCCTCCAACTGGGTTGTCTTAGCAACTAGCCTGTTTCATAGTAGTAAAGTTAAAATGCAGTGAAAGCAATTTATAAAAGATTTAACTGGACAAACTGACAAGGAAAGATTATGAGTTAGAACTTATAACCACTGTTGAACCCCCACCTCTTTTCTTTCTTACTTGTAGGTGGGTGGTGGGGGTTGAGGGGCTGAGGTCATTTTTACAGATGGACCAGCTCGACGTCACAAATCACGATACGTTCAACCATATGTTACGAGGCTGGTGGTTTGGTGTTTGGGTTGTGAGGGGTTCTACTCATCATAAATTTATGACATGATCCAATTGTTGCAAACTACTACTATTTTACATCTGAAGAATTAGAAAGTTCAGATACTAAATTCACAGAGTGAACACTGTTTGCAATCAAGACATTTTCCTATTATTGTTTCTGAGCAAACGACAATCAGCAGAAAAGAAAATCCGTTACATGGCTGCTATAGAACTACAAATTTAAATAAAGGTCTGCGATGGGCTGGTTCACAGAGCAATACAAGTACAAGAAAATCTTAGCGCATTGAAGATCGTGTATGCGTAGTGAGAGTTGAAAGAAAATAAATGAAGCAATGAGTATACTGAAAGAGAAAGGACTCAAAATTATATCATCCAGGAAAATGATACCAAATAAATCGGATGTTCTTGGTAATCAAAGAAAAAAGCAATGAAGGCCAAAACAACATAACATAAAAGACATACGAACCGTTCAAACAGCCTCTCAATTGTCTGAAACTGTTTTTCTGATGACAAAAGCGTTTCTCTAACAGTAATGAGACTACTAACATATGATTTCAAAGACTCAAAGTCCCGCTTAACCCGGCATAGCTCCTGCTCATTTTCAGCAGCTCTTTGCCTCTGCCTACACGTTTCTTCAACCAGATCCTCAACTCTCTGCCTCATTTCGTTTAGAATGCCATTGGTACCCACAGCAAATTGTTCCATTTCCTCTAGTTTTGAGGACATGTTCTCAATCTGCATTGATTTCCTTTTAATTTCCTCCTGACCCAAACATACCTTTTCCTTCTCCTCAGCAGTTTCCGATTCTGCCAAAATAACCCTCTTGACAAGTGCTTCCATTACATCTGAAACCATCTGAACAGACTTGAGTATTTGACCGATATACGCTGCATCTTGTTCATCTAATAAACCACATGGCTTGCCAATACCAATCAAAGATTCCTCTTCAGGACCACCAAATGAAGAAAGATCAATACTTTTAGACCAGCCAGACAGTGGTGTTCCACTTTTGTCGACAAACCCCACCCCTTCTAAATGTTTAATACCACATGAAGAGTGAGCCAAATGGGGAACTGCCAACATTCTAGCTTTCGATTTCAAATATGTCAACAATGTACTAGTTGTCTTAACTCTTCGCCAGAGAACCTCAAGCTCCTTTCTCGAATCTTCCTCAGAACCTTCTATGGAAGCCTTTACCTCCATAAGCTTTGCTTGCAACACATCTACTTCTGATTGGCGCTGTTCCATTTCATGCTTCCAAGTTTCATTCGTTTCACTGAGCTGAGTTTTCAAAGTCGACAGATGAAGATCTTCCTCTGTGGCCATAACCGAACGGATAACTCTGTGCAAAAATAAATGAAAACTATGAGCTCCCAATAGGAAAAATTGACATTCAAGAGACACACCAGTGCAAACACCATGAGTATACCACATTGAAATTATCTATATAACAACTAGGCCTTTAGAAGCTCTTTCAAGCAAAACACAGTATCTACAGACCAAAGGAAAGAAGGTATCCAGAATCTCACGAGCTACACCGTCATACAAAAAGATATTTCGGGACACAAGTAGATAACTGAGTATAAACAACTCGTGCCTTCATCAAAATGGGTTTAACTAGCAGTAGAATTCAAGGATCGGGCAAACGAAATATGAATGTACCAGATGATTCGTAGTAAATCTAAAGCGAGACCGAGCTCAAAGTTCTCAGATTCCTAGAAAGATAACCATACGCAAAGGAGACGAAAACTAGAATCAACGAACAAAAAAGACCTAAAATAGTCGCATCGGCTCGAAAAAAGTCACCCCCAAAAACCCTAAATCCCGGTCACCAAACACTAACTGAATCCCCGAAATTGATTACCTGATCTCAATAAAATTCAAGGCTTGAAACAAACGAAAAGAACCCAGAAAGAAAGTGCAAGAACAATCGAGAAAAACCCACACAGACGACGGACGCGGCGAAGAGAAGAAAAGGGGCAGAAGTTCCCAGTGGAAAAATGAACTTGAAAAGTGAAAAAACGCAATCGAAGAAGGGGATTAGAAGATAGCGATTGAGGAGGTGGAGAAGAACAAGAAGAAGACGAAGAAGGAATCAAAGTGAGCAGGAGAAGATCGATTTGTCAGAAAATGGTGGGTTGCAATTAAGAAGTTTTGATAGTGTACCTGAAAGGTAAGAAAAGACCAAAATAAGAGCAGGAGACGCAGGAATACGCGATACACAGCAACGAATGTGCAGAGGCCCAGCCACGGCCAGGCTCTTCCTTTTAACATTCCTCTCTCTCTCTCTCTCTCTCTCTCTCTTCCCCCACTTCTTTTCTTTTCAATTTCTTTTTGGATATTATGTTTACTCCCTTTCTCCAATTTCACATAATCTCACTCTTAATTTTGTAAATTACTTTTTTTAGCTGAAGATATGGTACGTGGATTCAATTATCTTTTATTGGATGCATGTGTCTTAACCAATTGAGTTAATGTTGATAAATTATTTTTTTTTCTATGTTCTATCACTGTTTACATGCGATCGGACCATCAAACTCACTGGCAAATAAGTGTTTTGTATAAACATTTCTAATTTTGTGTTGTTTTTTTAATCAACACAAGATAGAAGATTTATATTTCTAAAAATATAATAAATATTTCTAATCTTTTTTTCTTAATCAAAATAAGATTGAAGACACGGGTGGAGATTTGAAATTCTAATATCTCAAAAATATGTTACTGACTCATTTGAATTATATTCAAGTTGACTTTTAATTTGTGAGCTCGAATTTTAATTTCAAATAATGTAAAAATACTTTGTACAAATATTCAAATTTGTATAAAAAAATGTACAAATGCTTTGAATATTGGGCTATTGTAAAATGGATAGTAAAAAATATATCCAATGAATTCTTTGTTACTATTACTAAAGGGAAATAAAATAAGACACAAAATTAAAATGCTAAATCAAAATTCTAAAAGTTCAAAGACTATATTCAAATTTATCCTAAATTCATCCTTCAATATTTTAACCTTCATGTACTTTACAAATGTTCGTAGTATAAAAACTAATTGTTATTGTATTAGGACAGAGAATAAAACTACATTAAATATTTCTTTTAGAATATAATTTTACCATCGTGAGAAATGAAGATGATTTGAACCTTCGACCTATAGAAAATATTAGTATATATCTCTGAATTATTAAGGAATAAATTAATGACTTAATAGGCATTAAATGATTTCTTTTAAGAAAAACAAGTTTATAAAAATACATGACTAAAAAAGTGTGTTAAAAATTTAAAATATAGTTAGGAGAATTGTAGCAATCATATTTCATGTAAATTTTTTTTAATTCCAGTGTAAACATGTTTCAATATGATCTGGATGATTATGTTTATTGAATAAACTTCTCCTAATTATATCAAAATCTATTATGTTTTCCAAAGTAATTTGCTTTTTTGACCACTTTTTTTGTGAATACATTCAAGAATCAATTATGCCCAACCAAAAAATTTATTAATGTAAAATTAGACGAGTTTATATTAATACTAAATTAAATAAACGTGATACAAGCAAGATTTTAAATATCGATGTTAATATGAATGTTAAGATCTCAATTTCATGAAGATGTCGATAGAAATATTGATAAAATATCAATGTCAATGAATATTTGTAAAAACGTTATAAAAATAAAAAATTCGTAAAAAATATTAAAATTAACAAATAAACCATTCATAATTTCTAAATAAGCTAAAAGTGATTAATATTAATTATTAGTATCATGTCTATATTAGATATTAGATGAATGAAGAATTTTGAACTGGATAGGTGTCATCCCTTTGAAAAACTCAATTGTGCGCTTGCAAACTACAAGCTGAGTGGTCAAACAAAACCTCGTACGGCTGAACAATATTATGAGAGTATTATATGAAAACCACCCAACTACGCCACCAACCACTAAGCATATTATACGCTGAGCCTCCCATAGTGTGGTTATGTGCGCAACCTCCGAGCGGTTGCAATACTGCACTCCTTATAAATAATCGAGGTAACAGTAAAAGAGGTAAGTGCGAATTCAATTATCAATTGAAATTCGAGATCTACAATTGTGAGCTGATTAAGCCATCATAATGCTATTTCTCTATTTTACATGAACTCGATTACTTTGGATTTGAGTGCATTGTTCAATTTTTTGCTAAAACATTAGTGATATTTTGTCGATATTTTTCATATTTTGTCATTTTTTTTGCAATACTATAGAAACGTCGATTTGCCTTCTCATATCGATGTCGAACTTATAAACAAATGGAAATGTTGATGGAACCTTATTCTCCTTGTTACAAAGTTTATACATTTATAGTAACTTAAACACGTCAAAATGCATTGATTATTTGATAAAAAGGGAGAATTAACATTAAAATAACTAATCATTGAAAAGAACTATTCTTAATTGAAAATTTGAATGAGTTATTTATGGTTGGAAAATGACTAGTTTTAGTACTAAAGGTAAATGAACAACCATGACTATGACTCCTCTCCAAACCTATAGATATAGGTATGCCTCTATAATATGTGTTTTGATTTGGGCCACAAACAATTGTTTGACCAATGTTTCATGGCTTTTTGTTTAGAATAAGCAATGTTTCATTGCTTTGAAGGCTCTTTTTATGACCTCTTTTTTTTTTTTTTCCCTTTGGTTCTAATCTAAATTATATTTCTTGAAAGCAAACCCTTTGTACATTTCCAACTTAGAAAATTAGTCTGGAACAAAATATCAAAATCTAAATGTTATAAAAATTTCGATTGAAATATTGAAAACAATATAGACATTACTGGATGAACCTAAAAAATAATGAAAATCATGAAGTTCATAGGAGTATTTGAATTTTTTTTATGAAAAATAAAAGTATTTGAATTAACAAATAAGCATAGCACACTTTTTTTTAATAGGCTCTTTTTATATTTCATCTAATACATTTATGATGTAATAGAAAAATAGAAACCGAGGGTAATTGAGAGTTTTTTTTTTCCTTTCAAATACTTCTTTAATACATTATACACTTAAGATTTAATAGTCCAGAGAGTTTTCTTTTTTTCACAAGGTTAAATATAACATATATTATATGATATTTGATTTCATCAAATAATAATATTTTAAACAAATATAATTTTATTAAGTTAGAAAATAATGACTTGCTATATTACTTGTAAAATAGCTGGTAATTAATTAACAAAAGTAATCCGGAGAATTCTTAAAAAAAGCAAACTTGGAGAGTTAACTAGGGATTCATATTTATTCCCATAAAAAAGAATTCATAATTATTAGTAATGACACGACTTTGTAGATCCAAAAGTCTCCCCTTTATATTTTAACGGAATTAAATTTGTCTAAAATTCTCATTCAACTTTTAAATCTGACATTATTTTTTTTTATAATAAAGAAAATTTTATATTACATTAATTATGATTTGATTAAGAATAACGAGAAAATGAAGGAGGAGGGTGGCGAGATCCAATAGAAAGGGCTCATAGACTTTAAGATTGTAGCTGTGTAATAAAAAAAAATTAAATAAAGTTAGTGGTAATATTTATCCACTCAATATGTATGTAAAAAGAACAACGTAGTATATGAAGGATCTCATGTTAAAAAAATAATTGAAAAATTGAAGTTTCATTAAATTATTATATATATATTTTCAATACAACGTGTGGGATTGAGATTCAAACCCATAATCTCTTGATCGAAGATAGGTGCCAATTATCATTGAGCTATGCTCATTTTAACACTTATTTACATATTTGAATGTATGATAGCTCATTTTAACACTTATTTACATATTTGAATGTATGAAATCTAATTCATCTGTTAATGTCACTTTGACATTTATTTACATAATTGATCCCTTAAGATTCAATACAATCTTATCGATTTATTCAATAAATTCAATTTCTTTTAAGTGAAATGTCCAAATGGTGTTCAAATATGTTAAATGATAACCATTTATGTTCCATCATCTTTCAATTAACAAAATTTTTTAATGAAATGATTTAATTTATTTTTAATATGTTATAGATAATTTTGAAAACTTAAAAAAATCAAGGACACAAACGAAGGATTTATATATTTAGTCCATTTAATTTGAAACTTATATTAATAAAAATAGTATAACAATAAGGGGAGAGATTCGAACTTATGACTTCTTAGTCAGATTAATATCAGTTATCGTGTTATATTGTTTTCATAATTTTTTTTTTACTATTAACAGGAAAAAAAATTATTGAAACTTTGGTAAGAAAAAGTAAAATAAAATAAAAACTCTACGTAAAGAGAGAGGAAAGGGAAAAAAAAACAATAAATAAATAAATAAAAAGGAAAAATGAACTACTCAAAGTTTCAAAGTAAGCCCTCTTCCTCCTGAATCCGCATTTCCTCCATCTGTAATCGAAGCAGAAAATCGCAGACCGACGGAGAGGACGACGAACAATTGTAGAAGATGGGAACATTGGGAAAGACAATCTACACTGTCGGATTCTGGATCAGGGAGACCGGCCAAGCCCTCGATCGCCTTGGTTGCCGCCTCCAAGGGAATTACTACTTTCAGGAACAACGTAACCTTCTTAATTTCCACATTCTACTTTATGATCTTCCAAGTTTCATCTATGTTTCCGCTGGTTATTTTAATTTGGTGTAATCATTTTAGCTGATCGATGAATGGAAGGAAAGATATTTATGTTTCATAACTTTTGCTTGGCGTTTCTCTGGGCGGAAACCGCAATGTATATGTTGTGGGCTTTTCAAGGAAATGATTTTTCAAATGTCAAATTCCCTTGACTTTAAGGAATTCGTATTCGGATGAGAGTTTTTGTTGGTTGGAAAAGATAGATGTAAGGTTCCCAAAACATATTGACGATTGGTTGGTGGAAATTCTCCATGGGTGGATGATTCCAAAGAAGGCTAACTTGATTTGGAAGTGTGCTTCAAGAGCCCTTTTATGGCATCTTTGGATAGAACGGAACTCTCGGGTCTTCGAGGATAKAATCAGCCCTTTTGACATTTTTTGTAGGAATGTACAGCACACTGCTTCTTGGTGGTRTATTAAYTACGGAAAATTCTTTTGTAATATCAACCTCTCCTTGTTCATGAACAATTGGAAAGAGTTGGTCTAGTTTTTGGGTGGGGTTGCCTCTACCCCAGCCCGTTCGCTGTATCTTTCTTTTGTGATTAATGAAAGTTTCTCTAAGTTTCTTATCAAAAANAGCCCTTTTATGGCATCTTTGGATAGAACGGAACTCTCGGGTCTTCGAGGATATAATCAGCCCTTTTGACATTTTTTGTAGGAATGTACAGCACACTGCTCCTTGGTGGTGTATTAATTACGGAAAATTCTTTTGTAATATCAACCTCATGAACAATTGGAAAGAGTTGGTCTAGTTTTTGGGTGGGGTTGCCTCTACCCCAGCCCGTTCGCTGTATCTTTCTTTTGTGATTAATGAAAGTTTCTCTAAGTTTCTTATCAAAAAAAAAAAGATGTAAGGTATGAACTTAGGGATTATGGTGTTTCGACTTGGAGATGTGAACTGAAATGGTTTTATCATTGCATTAGAGGAGGGTGCATTCTTGTCCATGTCTGTATGGAGAAGCTGCTTTTGCTGGCATTTTTAGGACATGTGGCCGTTGTTGGTTTAACGAGGCCTCCATATTCTTCAGTTTAGGCTGTGTAATGGATAATCTTCCAGATAATAGCACCACAATTTAGAGGGCAGATGTTAGACATTGATCATGGACAAATTCCAGTTTATGAAGTAGCAGAACTTCATCTAGAGCTTCCTCACATCTATTACGTCATAATTTGGGGATCATAGTAGTTTGTTTGTGCATGATTTATTTATTTGTGACGATGTTTCTTCGTGATTTATGCTTAACTACTGATAATCTGGATGTCGAGGCCTTGAAAGGAGGGGGTTTAACTTCAACACATCTTTTGTTGTGTGGTAATGCATCCATTTTCCCCCTTTTTATTTTTAATTAGCACCTCCAATACTGAGAACTTCAATGCCAAAGAAAATAGATTACAAACTAAAGCAAAATACTTGCAACCAGGGCTATTACAAAATGCTTCTTTGAAGGACACAACAAATGGGAATAGCATAACAATGATGATACATTATGTTATTATATTATCTCCCACCATCTCTTGGAAGGACACCTTTGCCACCCCCTTGCACCATCCCTACCACAAAAGCCACCACACCCACGACCTTCTCGATCACCACTTCTACCCCCTCAATGCCACCTTTGTCACTTCAATTTTTTGCATGTATATGTTTAATACTTGACTGAGGTTTTATTATATACACTGAAAAATTTCATATGCCTTGGAGATTATCTGTTGAAGTTGAACCCTAGCTTTTGTTGTGCTAAGCTAAGCATGAGTTTGTGCAACTATAGAGAGGCTTTTTCGTTGAGTTATTTATAAATAAACTATTCAAATAAAATGAGCTAATTCTGATTCTTATTTGTTTAGTATCTAGGCATAGGGCGCTCATGAACATCTCTGACAAGGCTCCTGTGGTTGACAAGGATGCATTTGTGGCTCCTAGTGCATCTATCATTGGTGATGTGCAGGTGGGACAGCGGTCCTCCATTTGGTATGGGTGTGTTTTGAGGGGTAAGCTTACCATTAGCCTATATTTGAAGATGTTTGTGTTGTTTCATTCTCTACATCTGATAGTATGTTAATTTTGATCCCCCCTCCTCTTCTTAAGCTAGTTTTTGACTTCCCAGAGTCCCTGACTGTAGACTTAAAACTTTATACCGGTAGTGTTTAAGAGCACCTCATCCATGAATCTTGATTTTAAATAGTAATATTTTTATATTATTTGGCATTTGAAATTCATTCGATCAAATGATTTACAAGCCTCTAAAAATGATTGGCATCCAATGCTTGGAGAAAATGTGATGAGATCATGTCAAATACTATAATATTTCAGAATATGACAATCTGAAAGTTGTACTTTGAGGCGTGAATATTGGAAGAAAAGGGCAGAAGAAGAAATAGGTTGTATGGCAATGGCATGGCTGGTAAAAGGCCATACCAACTGACTCAAGTGTAGTGAAAATTTAAGGTTGTGCTAAGCATGAGGTCTTGCAACTATTGAATGGCTTTTTTCTGCGAGCTTGATTGTTAGTAATTACAAACGTTTGTGCTCCTAGGACCTGTAAGCATCAGGAATAGTACTTTAATAGGTTTAAATTTTTGGCAAAACTTAACAAGTGTTTTTTGTTTGAGCAGAATGACCACTCTGTTGCTTAGCAGATAATTATATGAGTTCAAATAGTAAATAACTACACTCTTCTTTTTGCCTAAATTTGTTTGAGTTAGAACCGTTAATTTACCTTATAACAACCATTTACCAGTCGTACTTGTAAACCAATTTACTTTTTTTGCTTCCCTACCTTCTTCTCTCACACAATATGCTTATATTTTTCTAACTGCAAAATATTATAAAGGTGATGTTAACAGCATTAGTGTTGGTTCTGGAACCAACATACAAGACAACTCTTTAGTTCATGTGGCAAAATCCAATTTGAGTGGAAAGGTTTTACCAACTATCATTGGAGATAATGTTACCGTTGGTGAGTGAGATTATCTTTTTTAAATGTTGTTAATATGTATCACCTGAGGTGTATATGTAATGGTTTCGAATCTGAACTAGACAGGTCACAGTGCTGTGTTACATGGATGTACTATTGAGGACGAGGCATTTGTGGGGATGGGAGCAACATTGCTAGATGGAGTCTACGTTGAGAAACATGCAATGGTTGCTGCTGGAGCACTTGTGAGGCAGAATACAAGGATCCCATGTGGAGAGGTCTCGCAATACTACCATTTTACTTTTATTTCTAGTGTATCTATCTGATCTTGAATTTTATAGCCGGATACGGTTGGTACTTAGCTCCCACAATTCCTGGACTGATGGCACAACTAACTGTTTCTTACAGAAAATTGTTGTTACTTTGTTTATCTGAATTTAAAGCATGGTACGATAGGCTCCTGATTTTTAATGTGTAACATAAGAAGAGGATTGAAGGCGTTGGGTCAAGTGTGTGAGTGTGTGAGTGTGTGAGCTGATCTTTTTTGAGGTGGACCCATGTAGTTTAGTTAATTATGATGTGGGTAAAAGTATGTAGGCTTAACGTATATCGATGTTTGGAATCTTTTTGGCTTTTTGCTCTAGTCTTGTTAAGGTGGAGAGTACGGGAGCTGTTGAATCTCCCTTAAATATGTACCTCTCTATTATTAATAATAATCGAGTTTTTTTATGGTTGAAAGAAATTATTAACTATTGGTTATGCAATCATAGGTATGGGGAGGCAATCCAGCAAAATTCCTGAGGAAGCTTACAGAAGAAGAGATGGCCTTCATCTCCCAGTCAGCCATGAATTATTCCAACTTATCACAGGTTCATGCAGCTGAAAATGTAAAGAGCTTTGACGACATTGAGTTTGAAAAGGTTCTTCGCAAGAAGTTCGCTCGTCGTGATGAAGAGTATGATTCAATGCTGGGCGTTGTTCGAGAAACCCCCCCAGAGCTTGTCCTTCCAGATAACATACTGGCTGACAAAGTACCAAGAGCTTCTTAAAAAGCACCAATTTTCTAATGTAGGTGTCCACTCATAAAGTTCTTGCCCTTTGCAATGTTATGCTGATATCCAAAACAACGCGACCTTCATCTCAAATAATACATGGAGGTTGGATGAAAGAGCAAACGGCATAGGTCACAAACCATGTCCTACGGCTGCAACTCTAATCAATCATCCTCTCTGAAACCCCATTTTTCTTCATCTTGAAGCAGCCCTTGGATTTATTTCCAGGTTTTGATAATTTCTCTCACTGTTCCTTTTTGGAAATAAAGAACTATGGAAGAAACATGTGTTAACTTATGGATTAAATCTATTTCACTTCGACTTGCTTCCCTGATTCTTAATGGGTATCTAAGTAAGCATTTGTTTTTCCTCCATTTTAGTACAGATGAGACCTTAAAATCGCAATCACCATGTCCCCACAGTGCTCCATGTTTGTGGGATTTGATTGGATTAGCCAACTGTAAAGGTTTCAGGTCAAGAAAATGATGGGTGGGGGGAGGGGGGATGTTCTTGGCCACTGTTTGCTTTGATTTTGATTTTGATTTTGATTTTGAAGGGCATGAATGGTAAAAGAATTAGAAATGTTCAATTATTAAAGGCACTTGCTTTTCCTATTAAGATCCCCACTTCATCTACTGAGTGCCAAAGTTTGATTAAAGTACATTATGATTTGACATTGGATTCAACACCCTCCAATTTGACACCCAAAAATACTTTTAAACTATTTATTCTGCATCACAAAATGGCTGGAAAAATATCAGCCGTACAAATCCTTTTCTTTTCTTTTTTTTTTGGCGTTTTCCTTTCTCCTCGTTGCGTGGTGCACATAACCGTACTGCTTCTAATGGACGTTGACTGCCTTCCCCAAAAATATTTTATTAATTTCCATCTTATTGAAAAAAAAAACATTTAAATAAATCAAAGATGATAATAATAAAAAACTAAGGTGATTGGAAGAGATGTCAACCAGCAAGATTCATATAAATTATCATGGGATAGTTTGCATTGCAACTTTTTGATTTGAGACCATCTTCGAAAGGAATTGAATTTCATTTTGCGAGATTGTGTTTCTAGCTCCATGTACAGTATTTAAATCATTATCATCCTGCATAAGATCATTTTAATACTTGTAAAACTAATCGGAGTGTTACTAAGATTAGGCATCCAACTTTATCCTTTTAGACTTTTTGGTTGGTTTATTATTTCGATTGAATCCTCTAGTTAGTCTCTTAAATACTAAGTTCAAGAAAACGTCCAATAACAGTGATTATGTATAACATTAATAGAAATAGGTATTCCATTATGGTATTATGAATCAAATTTAATGATCGGTTACCTTGATGTTTGTTTCCCACTTTCTTACAATTCTACAAAATTATATTGCTCCAATTTGTGGATGCTCACATCACAAAGAACCATATTAACGTCTTTACTTTTCTTTATTCTCTTTTGGTCTTAAGCGTATTAATACGCTGGTGCAGACATGTGTTAGAACCATATAGGCTATTTGAACTCCGAAATAGGTGTCAGCATAAGCATAGTCCAACAATTAATGGATATTGTTCCTTTCTTTGGAGTTGGAGGTAACCATGAAGTACGTAGTAAATAGGGTTTATTTTAAACACAAAATTAAATTAAACCAAATTAAAAAAAACCCCTAATTTTCTCCACCTCTCCCCCTCCGTTTGCGTTCACCCATTTAGAATTTTTGAGAATGGTTTCAATCTAGGGCAATTTTTATAGTTTAGGAATTGGATTTGAACACAAATTATCTCATAAAAAGGCAATTTGTTCTTGCAAGAAGGCAAAGTATATCATTTGATATTAAAGTTTGAGCTAATTTCTACAGATGAAATGAGCAGTTAAGGATGTGGATGTAGTTAGCACACATTAGCAACAAAAATATGTGGAAACAAATAAGAATGCTTTTTAAAGCAAAGATAAAATTAAATTTGGCTCAAAAGTCAATATTCTTGGACTCACTCAAAATCTATAATAATTCTTCCACATTCAAACAAGCCCTGAAAACCCCACATCCAAACAACCAAAATTCCAACTATGGGACATATCTTTATATATGTTCAGATTGAAGATTCAAATGTTATGAATGTATGGAATCCAGGACAAGTCTTTTCCTAAGCAAATTCACCAAGATGATGGAATTAGTGATGATGAAGTCATGGCTAGAGGTATAGAGAATAATTAGGTTGTTGAAGATGTACACAGTAATTAATGAAAAAAAGGTCTAATCTCCATACTAAACATTTTAATTTTGTCACCAATGCAACCTTAAACTTCTAGTGAACATACATTTTTTCTTTTGTACCCATTGCACTACTAATCTAAAGATGTGTTATCATTGTTGAGAAATTAGGCTCTAAAATTTCTCCGGTCACAGTTATCCAACAGAAACAAAGTCAATCACACAACACAAATATAAGAGATACAGGAAAAACACAGTAAATGACACAAACAGATTTATATTGATTCACCCAACAATGATTTCCCTTGTTTATAAAGATAAAAAGAAGCTAAATTGGTGCTGTTTTCTAATGTTTTATACTCAGAAACCGTATTTTAAGTTTATTATAGTATCCAAAACCTTTTATTTGAAGTTATCCTAGGTTATACATGCATATAGGGCATTTTTACATCATTCAAAGTTGATTTCTAACGGAAATTACAATTTTGTGCAGAAAAATGCATAGCTACAATTTTGTGCAGAAAAATGCACAATCCCGAGATTGCCCTTAATGTAAAACGTACGTTTTGGTTTTGGTGTGATTTAAAGCTTCCCCAAGCCTTTCAACCCAACTAAAAGGTGCTATGAAGGGATGACTTTCCACAAAACTCTCAACCTCCTAACCGTCTTGAAGTTCCTATAAATTCAGCAGCTCATCCGCTTCAATCATCCTCCCGAAGTGATCATTTCAGCTTTAGACATTTTACTCTCAGCTTGTTTACGTTTTCCCTTTTAGTTTTTAGTTGCTATTGTTTTAAACATTTCTTATTTCAAATTCATTCTTGTTTTTTAGTTTGTTACTTTTCAATTGTAAGCTTTAATCTTGTTCAATTAAAAATTCCAGCAAGTTCGTGCATCTTTACTTCTCGCGTTCTCTCTATCTTCGAAGTTGTAATCACATACCCTTGTGGAATTGACTGAGTATTGCTCCCCAATCTTGAAAGAGAACAGGTTAGGGTCATTCGGGTTACAACTCCACCATTTCAGTTTGTTTTAATTCTATTCATCTTTCAATTATGTCTCTCATTTACATCTAACGTTCAATTATATTTTTCCTTAAAAGTCATGAGCTAAATTTATTTTCCCAAGCCCGGTTATGGTTAATTAGCTAAGGTTTTTAAAATCCAACAAGGCAAAATGTATTTTTCTTCTTTTTTATCACTTAAAGTTGTTTTCATAAGTTAAAACTTGATTTGTCCCATTAATGTTTTAACCAAGCATCAATACTGAAAGGGTTGATATATTTTTACAACTTTAATGATTTAACTTTGGGGAGAAATACTTTAGACATAGGACACCGACCTAAGGTTACTTTTCTAATAGAAATATTATAAATGGTCTTATACCTTCAAAATCACTCAAACATAAGATGATGGCGAAGTAAAACCGAAGAAAATTTGTGAGAGGCACCTGGCGCCTAGTTGGAAAAAATGGTTGTATTTTTATCTAATTCGAAGTAATTAGGTTTGGTTTATTGCATTGAACCTTTAAATATCAAAACTAACATTATCCTTATTATTTGTTACCCCAAAATCAACTACAAAGTCACCGATCAACATCATTTTCATTAAAAAGACTTCATTTGTCCCTGACGATTGATACTCGGAATACTCGTTCCGTTTTACTACTTGTGACGGGTGTACACTTGCGCTCTCATTTATTTTTAATCCAAAATCCCGAACACCTAACAAACGCCCCTAACTTCTAAGTATTTAATACTATATTTAGGTACAGTAATGAAAGAACTCACAAAGAATCAAGAACTAGTTACTACAATATGTTGATCTCAATTTGCCCTCTCTGTGCTACCAACGCCTCGAGCCGTTGCCTCTGAATTGCCATAAAATTCCTCACAAATTCAGCTAAAATTGATACATGGCTGAAGAACTTTAAACAAAATGGTATGTATTTATAGACCAGCCCCGCAGTGTTGTGATGCTGTCCATAGCGTCTCAACGTGTGCCTCCCTCGTAGCAACATTGAGATGCTGTCCCTAGCATCTCAATGCTCAGACTTCTGCATCGTGTTCCTCCCGCTTTCGCAACGTTGAGACACTAACGCTATCTCCTCGACCAACATGCCAATGCATTTCTTCACTCCTAATTATTTGTTCCTTCAATTGTGGTTTGGCTCCACCAACCTAACAGTTATCATAACATTAGTTTAGGGGAAGAAAAATACACATTATTCATCCACGTTAGAGACATGGAAATTCAATTAGTAAAATGTCCTCCCCACCCCTCTCCCCTCCTGCAACTGTAGTATTATATAAAAGTGTCATATTCTCTTTGTTCACACTATAATTTTGTCGCAACAACTATTTTTCATTCCACTACGTTTTTAATGTAATGTTGATGTCACATGTAGGGATCAAAAATAAGTATCCTTACACTCTCCGAGTACCGGAAATTTTCACCAACACTTTTTTTTTTTTAATTTCCTAGGTATAAAGATTAAAGAGTCTTGATGGCATTGTCAAGCTACCCAAGGTTGGTGGTGGCCTTGATCTTCCACATCATTTTTTGATGGGACAATGGCTACTGATGACTTGGATTGAAAGATATAGTGGAAATCAAGTGGACACAGTTTCAAAAGTGGAAGAAGGGAAGAGAGAGAGTTCTTTTTTACCCTATTTACTAGGTTATTGAAGAAAAAGAAATAATTAAAAGAACAATTATTTTGTTTGTTTTGTTGTTTTAATCTTGTGTAATAAGATTTTGGGAAAGTTTTTCAAATTTTACCTTGCAATTCTAATTTTATCCAATTAAAACTTAGACTGAGATAACAAGTTTTACTTTCTATTAAACTTCCATCCGAAGAAATTGATAAACAATGGATTACAAATAGAGGCTTAGTACAAAGTTGATAAGATATCTCTATTAAATGATCAATCATGTATATTGACATGCTTTGACTTGATTTAGCAGTTCTTTCCAAAAGGCGTGAATGCAAATAAAAAACGTCCCCTGGATAAGCTTCACAGCCCGGTGGTCTTCGTAAAAGAAGAGACATTTGTCGATAAGCTTGTCCTTGTTTGGAGGGATCATCATAAATGATTGAAGTGTGTTGGTAGCCGGAGAATCCGTCGTTTCGGCTACTATAATAGTGTATTCCACTGTTGCCCCCTTTCCTGTAAAGTAGTCACTACTTGAGCCTCTTCAAATTAACCGAGATTCAGAAGCTGAAATTTCACGTCGGCCATCAATAGGTTTAGCCAGAGCATTTATAACATGACCTAAATAAGCCTCGGTTATTGGTATCTGAGCAATTCTTCCYGTTGCTTTTACAGAACTTCCCTCCTGTATCAGCAAACCATCACCCATTAATACAACACCAACATTATTTGATTCTAAATTTAGAGCTATGCTTATAGTACCCTYTTCAAATTCTACTAATTCACCTGCCATTACTTCATCAAGACCATAAATACGAGCAATGTCGTCGCCTACTTGAAGTACGGAACCAGTAGTTACAATTTTTACTTCTCTATTATATTGCTCAATATGTTCACGGATAATATTACTAATTTTATATGCTCGAATGGTTACCATAAGTATTTCGCAATTCTTTTTTTTTTTTAAGAAAAAAAAAATAATGCCTACACTAAAATGACTAATCAGTTTTAGTTATTTCTTTCATCGTCCCAAACATGCCAATATTAGCACTGATGGTACGTAAATGTAACTCGTCCAAACAACTATTCAGAGTTCCTAGAGCTCCCTATAAGGCTTGTTGGAAAATCTGTTGTTGTACTTGATTAATCGCTATTTGTTGTTCAAAATGAATAGTTTCATTTTTATAATTTTCTAATTGTTCCAAACTTTTAGAAGTTGAATTAATCAAATTAAAATTTTTTCCTTCTATCTCAAAGTATCCATTCACTTGAAACTGATCCGATTCCATTTCGACTTTCAGTAAGCGGGACCGAGCTTTTTCTAGCTGTTCAATTGCCCCCTCGTGGAGTTCTTCTAAATTTTGAATTGTTTTCAATATCCTCTGTTTTCGATTATCTAATAAATCACTTAATGAAAGTATATTGTCTTTCCATTCATTTCAAAACTTCGACGATCCCTTCCCGAACCAAACATGAATCTTTCGATTCATTTGACTCTCACGCTCAATTATTGCAATGATTTATGGGAAATTCACATATATCTGTTTGAATGTAATGAGTCTATCCTCTTTTCTCTATTCATATTTCACAAAGAAAAAAAAATTGATCATTAATCCAAGACCAGAATATTTGGAGGACTCTTCTGACCCAACAAACAATTGTCAGCAAAGTTGATTTTTTTTTTTTCCTCCAAATCCAAAGATTTTTTCTTACTTTATACATAACATAGATCATCGATTCAGCATTGGATAAAAAAGAAAAAGAAAAAAAATGAGGGTGAAATCCATTAAGCCATTAATTTAAATTAGTGTAAAATAACCTTAATTAAGCAATGGTCCCATGTGATAAAACTGAAAGTTTCGGATAAAAATTAACTTATTCCGTCAAAACTTTAGATGAGTTCTGCCTTAACTCATTTTTAAACAAATGATTTCAAACTTATCTTTTCAAAAGATAGTTTACTTTCACTAATCAGTTTACATGAACATATATATTGTAAATTTGCCATATTTCCTTTTGCAGATATATATATTTTGCTACTATAGAACAAATATCATTTTGGTTAAACTTTACTACTATATAATCAATATATATACATTAAATTCACCCTAATTTCTTTTATGTATATATATAAACTTTTGTATTTTGTAAATTTACCACATTTCCCTTCAATGAGTCGTATTTATAAAGTATCTATAAATAAGAAATAACAATAAATATAATATTATAATTTTTGTTTTAATTCCCTCTTTTAAATTTGTCTTGATATCAAATATAAATGGAAATTAATAAAAATATTCATAACTCTTCTACCTATTATTTCAAGTTTCATTCTCTCTCTCTCTTTTCTATATTTATATAGAAAAATTGGCCACTAAAATTATATTTATTTGAATTTGTACCTTAGAAGAAAGTTATAGATCCGCCACGAAATCATCTTTTAGAAAATTGACTTCCAACAAATTTTAAAATTAACTATATATACATTTTCAAACTACAATATTATTAAAAAAAAAAAAAAAAAACCCTTTATGGTCCATGCTTAAGCAAGTTTGGAGAGGCCATTATTTTAGAAATTGTTGGCCAATATTGTTGCTGATTGGTTGCTTTTTTCTCCACGAAGCTTAAAATACTTGGGGAACAATTTGAGTGGGAGAGACAAGTTTTGATTCTCTATAAATTCTTAGTTCAACAATTAAAAAGGTATTAAGGAAAAGAAATTTTTTTTTTTTTTTTGCCTAAAAAAACCTCTTTATGAGCATCGTTGAATGTCACTCAATCGCAACAGAATTATCACTATAGAGGATTAAACCGACAATTTTTTGACAAGTCACAATAATGCTACAGCATTAAAATGATTAATACTATTTGATTGCAATCATAATAATTTGATTAAGTTACTATTTGAGCACATGTTTTTTGTTTTATTTTTCAGAAGCTAATTTCTAAATTTTCTTATTGCATAAGATATACCACCGAAAGGCGTGTGGAATATCCACACTCCACACCTAGAATTGGCCGGTTGTCTATTAATCCCTTTATTTTAAAAAGTTTCTAATAAGTTCCTAAATTTTAGAAGTCGTGGCTATGGACACTTCCATTATTTATTATTAGTAACGGGATCCAAAATTCAAGAGTATTAGAAAATTTTCTGTTTTGTATCTAATACATATCTAGAGTTAACTTCATCAATTTTATGTTTATATGACATGTTAACCGTATGATTTATTTATTTAAGAATTACACAACGGACTGATTTTAAATATATTTAGACACATTTGATGTTATTAGACGAAGTTAACGGTAGGAATCGATCAGATACAATAGCCTATTAAAATATTTTTAAAGCATAGGGACTAAATAAACATAGCCCTAAAAGTTTAGAAACCTATCAAATCACCTCTCCACTAATCATTATATTTTTATATTTTTTAAAAGTAGAATCATCACATGTGACCCATTGGTTCAAAAGAACTCAGGTTAATTGAAAGAGAATGAGTTCAAACCGTACAATTTCCTACAAATTTAAATGCACGCAGAGAGAGAAAGGAAGAGATTTTTTCATGGTGGTCAGATTCCCACCAACCGGCGACTTTATCGACCAAACCTAACCACTGTTGCATATGCAAAATTTCCTACTACCTCCCCCACCTTCCTTCATTGCTAGCCATAAAAACATCGTCTAAGAATAATGTCTAAATCAAATAATATATACCCGAACGAACATAGCGCAGCGGTAATTGACATATATCTCCAATCAAGAGGTTGTAAATTTGATCTCCGCCCTCACATGTTATACTAAAAAAAATCAAATAATATATTACTTAATAATGTGTTAAAATGTG